TATTTAGATATTTTTATCTGGATACAACAGATAAAACAAGAACAAATAAATCTTGCTCTTAAAAACACAAACGTTCAGTCATCGGCGCAAACTTTTACAATGCGTTTTAACGACGAATGCCGGAACAGTCATTAAAAAAAATAAATAAACGAACAATTTATATAAATAATAATTATGTAAGTGGATTATATATATATATATATATAAACAAATAAATAAATAAACATAAAAGAGACCGTAAGAAAAAAAAAATTAAAAATTAATAAGGTAGATAGGTAGATAGAAACATCGTGACGCGGATAATAGACAAGAAAATAATTAAACGATATCAACAACAATAAGAAGAAAATGAATACTAGAAAAGGTAGAGAGAGGGAGAAAGATAGGAAAAAAAAATCAATCGATCTTCTTTCGTATCAGAGTCGTATTTATACTTTCAATATTTAAACAATAAAAAATATTCTCGATGATCATATTTGAATAATAGACTTTTATGTATACGCTTTTTCAATCCGACAAAATAAACAAAATATAAATAAAAAAAGAAATAATAATAAAAAATAACACAAGAGGAAAAGAGAGAGAGAGAAAGAGATAGAGAGAAAGAGTAAAAAAGTAAGAAAAAGAAGAGAAAAGTAATAAATCTTTTTTAATTGCAACACCTTAAAAAAAGAATAAAAAGAAGAAATGACAATTGTACGACACTCTCTAATGATCTATATATATAATTATTACAATAAAAACCGATAAAAATAAAAACAACACAATAACAATCGTTCAAATCGTGTAAATGAATGTTAAAAAACAAAATCGAGCTAATACCATACATCGGATCGCATCAAACAAGATTAATTATAATAATTAATCAATCAAGATCGGAAATAGTAATCATTGATAATTGATTATCGCGGAATAAATAAATAAAGAAAGAAAGAAAGAAAAAAGAATAGAATATAAAATAAGACAACCGTGAACGTCTTTTGCGAGATTTTTTCCTCGTATAAAAAAGAAGATTAAAAAGAAAGAAAAATAAATCAATAAATAAAATAAAATAATATAATATGCGATGACGACGATAAGAAAGAAAGAAAGAAAGAAAGAGAGAGAGAGAGAGATAAACGTTTTAAATGATCCACATGATCGAAAGAAAAGTAAAAGAAGTAAAAGAGAAATCGAAGAAAATAAGAAAAATATCCTCGGGTGCGATCGAGGGGTATACTTTCTAAACAACACATTTCTCGTAGCTAATATTTATATTATAATAATAAAAATAATAATAATAATAATAATAATAGGATCATTCGCGTTTTGACTGCTAGTTAACGTTAGGTAAAATGACCACGAATTCGTATATGTAATGTTAACACACACACACATATACGTAACACCATCATTACGCGTAAGCACACACAAGAACATTTGCGAAATGCTAAACGCGTTTCCGAAAAAAAAGGAATGAATAAAAGAGAATAATTAAAAAAAAAAAAATTAAGAAGATCGACGAAAAAAAATGATCGTACGATATATTTAACGATCGATCGATCGATTGATAATGAATTAAAAAGAAGAAGCATTACGAATCTCGTGAGATTAGGCACGCAATATGGATTATTATTAGTTACAATTATTATTATCATCTTTATTATCACTATTATATATTATCATCTTAATTAATATTATTTTTTGTTATTATTATTCTATATTATATATATATTTTTATTATTGTAATTATTATAATAATTATGATTATGGTAATTATTATGCAATGACTCTATTCTATTTGAAAATATTTTGTTTTGATCATTTTAATGGTTTTTCCCTTTTAGTCGGCTCTTACGACAAACAGGGACTACTGCGGGCTTATTTTTATCCCTCAAGCCCGCAGAAGGTTTATTATTATTATTATTATTATTAATTGTTATTATAATTATCATTAATTATTATTAATTATATGAGGGCAATATATACATATATTTATATATATATATATATCAAAGAAATACGGGCAGCTCTCGTCGAATAAAAAAATAAAAATAAAAAAAAACAATATGGATGCACAAGCTCCTTTTTAGAAGAATTTTATGTGCGAACTCTTAAAAAAAAAAAGTGTCACCAAAATGAAAATGATGAAGATGAATAAAAAGAAGAATAAGGATAAGAAGAAGAAAATGAAGAAGAAGAAAAATAAAAAGAAATAAATATGGAATTATTCAAATACATATTATGTATGTCTCTAAGTAAGATGTAAACTTCTAATGATCGATTTTTCAACAGACAATCGCTCGGCCACTACACTCTCATCTTTTGAATATCCTCTTTTGACACGAAGTCAAGGAGCCCATTAGAGAAAGAAGAAAAAGAAGAAGAAAGGGATGGAAGAAGGAGTAGTAAAAAAAAAAAAAATAAAATAAAATAAAAAAGATGTGAAAAAGAAACACAAAACTTTGTTGCATGTACTACTTGATACTATGACGATAATGATGGTGTTTTATGACTTGTGCTTCGAGAGGGCCTAATAGATACATATATTTATTACAATCTCATAGACCGAATAAGAACATTATTTCATATGCTTTTCTCCTTTCAGGATCTTCTTCGATAACGAAAGAATAAAAAACATTAGAAAAACAAAAAAATTAAACAATAATTGTTAGGGAATTTCTTTTCACGAGATAATATTTTATCTTTTTTATTCTATTATATATTTTTATTCTTTTTTTTTTGTCGTTTTCTTGCTTCTCTAAATTTCTATTTATCATAATTGTTAACACACACGACGTGTTTGCAATGAATAATCGAATTAATGATTATCTTCATGCTAAGAGACATACGAATAAAGACAGTAACGATGATAATAGATATTATAAAGGATAAGTGCTTATTGAAATATTTACAGAAAGATATACGATCTCAACGAGACGTCTACCCCATTCCTCAACCCCTTCATCACCTTTTCTTTCTCTCTCTTTTTCTCTATCTCTCGTCCTCTCTCTTTCTTTCTATCCATTACTATTTTTCACGTTATATCTCTTTCGTACAAATTTCATCTTCACTCTTCGATCTTTTATAATTCATAAAACAAAAAAAAAGAAATGCAGCTATTTTTTTTATCTATTAATATTAGTATATTATTATTATTATTATTATTGAGAATGTAATCTATTATAAGTCTATTATTATTATTTGTGTTTTTTAGGTTCCTTCTTCTTCTTCTTTTTCTTCTTCTTCCTCTTCTTTTTATTTTATAATTTATGAACGATAGATGATAAAGAAATCCTTTATTTATTATTTCCAATATGTGAATAAGTTTTAAGCGATAAACGTTAGTATATTAATAATTGTAAATTTATTAAAGGAGAAGAAAAATGATTATATGGAAAAAAAAAGAAAGAAAGAAAGAAAAGAAACAAAAATAATTCTTCGTTTTACTCCGTATAGAAAAGGACAATTATTAATTATAACACCGAATAAATTATATATATATATACATATATATATATATATATATATACTTTAACACTTTTCCGTATTAATAATACTAGCAAGTTAGATGCAATGTTTTTTCTGACGATCCTGTAAGCTAAATCGAATTGACTTGTTACATTTGTAAATGTTTGTAAGTAACTACTACGTAATAAAATAATCGAGTAATAATCATCGAATTATATCCTAGCAATGCTCATCTGTTATCCATCGATTATTTCACCGTACACGTACAATGAATAAAGCTAACCATAACATACCATACTAAAAAGTATCTTAGATTCATTATTAATTTATTATATTAATACGACTAATTCCTTTCGTTACTCCCACAGGTTCCATTACCACCTGACGATGACGATGATAACACAATGATAATGATATATATTAATAAAAAAAAAAGATATGAATAACGTAATATTCAATACCATTTTACGATTTATTTACATATTTAAAAATTATGACTTATCTGAATCAATACCATGAGCTTTCTTTATACCTTCTTCAACTTTCTGCTTCTCCTTTTCTAATTCTTGGTAAACGGCTAAAGTTTTCTTAACTAAAGGACCTAATGGCGCATCCAGAGAAGCATAATGCATTATTAATTTAATGGGATCTTCACTTTCGCACTCAGTCATTGCAGATTTTGCTTGAGGGTGTATCTTGTGATAAACATGTATCAATGCCACAGCTTCTTCAAATTTTTCTGATTCTATTATATTGCAAAGCAATTTATCGATATCATTATTCCAAGCGAGATAAAATACAAAGGGACCAAAGTGTCTTGTTGATCTCAAGCATTCGAATTGCTTCTTTTGATTGATGTCCTCATAAACCGCCTTTGTAACTCTTTTATATTCTGGATCATCTGGATCGTATTGAAGACAAGCACGGTCTAATAAGTACTCATAAGCTTCTTGTCTCAGTAGATTCTGAAATATAATATATATACAAACAAAATTATAATGATAATAGTAATACTAATAATAAATGTTTCTATTGTACTTTTTAAACAAATTATCTAACCTCCAAATATTCTCCTTGAAACAATTTAGGAGCTATCATTTCTTTCCCTTTGGTAGACATATACACCTGATTCAATCGATCTCTTTCATTCCACTTGGCATATCTAAGCGTCCCATCGAGCTGCCTAATTACTATGATTCTGTCTCTTTCTTTAATACCAAAACTAATATCCGTAAAGGCATATTTACTCGTAGATAATCCTTCCAATGCTTCATCCTTGGACAATACAACATCTATTTCTTTCCTTGTTTTAACTACAGGAGGCATTTGCAAACGTTTTTCAGCTCTCTTCTTTGCAAGATCCAAAGCTTCTTCTAATTCTTGATCAGTCATAAATTTATATTCAGGAACTTGTAATTTTTCACCAGTTAAACGTTTTCTAACAACCTTTTTGTAATCGATTCTTGTTAATATCCTCAACGCCTGTTGTACTTCTTGATTAAAAAATATTGGTGCTGGATCCACTTCATTTTCTGTGAATATTATAAAAAATAAATCAAATTTAAACAAGGTTTGACCAAGAATCATAACCTAACTTATTTTTATTATACACGTACCTGTATTTAATTGAGGTGCATTAAATGAATATGCACGACACGTTAAAATTCTTTCACAATGTGAACGTCTACATATTTTAATTATACGTGACAACATTATTTGAATTATATAAATTATTAATATTCGAAATATAATAATGAAAGCGTGATGACAATAAACAAGACTTTAATCCCAGCTAGAAAAATAGTTATATCGATAAGAACATTCGATTTATTATCTCAAACATCGATTTCCGTCACTGACCAATCAGAATAACGCTCGACGTAATGTACCAATACTGTGACCAATTAACGATAGTCGAACTAAAAGCTCTCGATTCTAATTTTATAACTTTCATTTGAAAAATAGGTTTTTATTTTATTTCTTTTAAATGTAATGATTGATCAAATAATTCGCATGTTATATATATTTTGAATTATAAATTATTCTAAATAATTATTACAATTTTATAAATTTGAAAATAACTTGTTCTGTAAATATTAGAATCCGTATTCTTATACGAATTTAGAATGAACAGTAGTACCAAACTTATATAAAGTAAACAGATAAAATTTTCACTATGCATTCACAAAAAAACAAGTTATTTTTATAAATAAAGTATTCTTGTTGAAATTAATATAATATTTAAAAACAAATTGGTACGTAAGTTAAATTTATATATATGTACACGTACACGTATACGTAAAATCATGTTGACTTAATTTTCTTGAAAACAATATGACAGTGTTGAGGTAACATTTGTAAATAATTAACAATAGATAATATGTTGATATTTCAAAATAAAGCAAATAAAATGGATTATATGAAAGAACCAGCATTTTATGTGGAAGATATCGAAGATATTGACCTGAAACAACCTCCAAAATCTGGAGAAGATTATATCAAGCGGGTAATGTAAGTATTATAATAATTTAGAAATGAACAAAGTAAAATATTCATTCAAATAATTTCACTGTATTATAGATTAGAAGCTAAACAATATGCTGATACAGTAGTGGCTGATATTAATCCAGAACTTTTTAAAAAACCTACGATAGATATTCACCATGTAAGTTAATACAAATATTAATCAATTATATCAACACATAATATTTAAATAATATGAAATAAATACAATAATAGTTACCAGGATGTGTCGAAGCACCTACATCTTTAACTCCTATCATCGAATGGCAAGAACGTCAAGTAGAAAATTTCAAAGATTTAAAATTATACGTTATTCAAATGCAAGATAGGATTAAATCATCTAAACGCAAATGGAAGCCTCAAGAGACACAATTGGTAGATAAATTTATATGTCATCCTGAATTATTAAGAATGTAATACTGATATTATATTTCAAAATAATACTTTTCGTTTTGGTTTCAGCCTCATATAGATGATCAAGAAGGTTGGATCACTTACTGTTCCAAGGAAAGTAGCGATGATAAAGAAAATCATAGTCCAACGTTAACGACTATTATATCTATGAAACAACCATTGATAGAACAAGTCTTGGAATATTTAATCGAATATGTACAAAAACAAGGAAAACTTCCATTTAAAATTGGACAATGGCTCTATGCTTTATTGGTTGTTCTGCATCTACCATTGGACCCTGACACATGTTCTTGTTTGCGTTCTTTGGCAAGAATGTGTTCCATTATTAGAGCTAGTTCTGTAATAAATGTTTACTTACAGTATTATTCATTTTAAGAAAAGTTCAGTATGATTTTATTTCAATAATAAGAAGAAAATAGCTAAGATATTTTATTTGAAAAAATCTCTTTCTTAATAACTAAATCGTTACAACTTTGGTATAGATTGAAAATATTAATTTCAAAGTTTTAAAAGTAATCCATTTAAATATTTGTTATTTTTTTTTTCTTTTTAATTACTAAACTTTTCTTGAATCGTAACATTTGTATAAAAATTACACATCTAATACTACATTTTTATTTATTTAGAAAAAGTTGGAAGAACACGAAGTAGGAGCACTAAATTTGTTTATATGCCTGGTTGCCAGATATTATCGTCAAATGGATCTCGCTGATTGATATTTAATCGATGTTACACTTGTCCCTTTTTCTTTCGTGGCTATATCACAAAATGTAATTAAAAATGAAGAGGAAGTAAAAGAAATAATAGGAAAGAAAAAAGAAAATAAAATGAGAAAAAAAAGTATTAAATAAAAAATTAACTAACTATCATCTCTCCCGGTGATATACATAATTCGTGCTATTTTTTTCTTATCCTTTTCTTAAATGCTACAGAATGTAGGGTACAATAAGGCAAGATATCGATTAAATAAAGTTATATTAGAAGTAATCGATTGATAAGCGATATTGCAAAATTGTTGAAATTATTTTAAGCTATATTCTCTTGGTCCTGTAATAATGCAGTTGCAAATCTTTCCAAGTCGTCGTAACTAAGATTATTAACTTTGTTCTTCAAGTCTTTTATTAGCTCGTTAACGATTGATTCTGCTTCTGATTCGGTATAATAATGCCTTAAAACTCTTGTAACCTCATCTCTCAATATTTGAGTTCCAGTTTTTTGATGAGATTTAGCCTCACTTGGTCCTTCTTCCGCTTTCTTTATAACAACTAAGTTAAGTCTACTTCCATCCTTAATCGCTGGATAAAAACTTAGTGGCTGTTCGTCTGAAATCAAATATGTATCAAAGATATTAATATTTTTGTATTTACATGTAAATATATGTATACACGTACATATGTTACATTATTTTTTTTTTTGTTTTATAACAATGTGTATATATATTACAAATATAAATTTTGAAGGTACAATTAAATATTATTTTACCGGCCAATGTTTTTCCTGTTAGCAACAATCTTTGTTGTGGTACATCGATGCCTAAAAGGTCACTTAATTTATGCTTCAGTTGCAAAACTGTTTCTGTTGGCATAATCTGGAACAATAGAAATATATCATGGATGGAAAAAATGCCATTAAATATAGAAAAGATTATTTTCTAAACTAGCATAAATTTCTAATCAAATCGATTGTAATAAAGTAACATATATATATATATATATATATGTATATATATATATATATATATATATACATATACATATAAAAAAACATAATAGAAAGACCAAAAAATTTGAAATCAACATCTCCATTACTTACATCGATAATATATTCTTTCCCTTGAAGTTTTTTCACGATAACTTTCATGATGAGTATATTTAGTTTGATTACCCCGCAATAAATAAAGCAATTCGTGTGTTGCTTTTTCCTTTTTCTTTTTCCTTTTTCTTCTTTCTTTTTGGTTAAGTCAAATTTGTCGTAGGAATAAAACTTTACGCGTTGAAAGTAAAAATTGTATCATTTTATTGAAGAAGAGGTTATATTTTGCGACACAAGACACACAGACCGAGAGAAACTTTCGTTATATATTTTTTCACGTCTTTTCCAGTTACAAACGAACACACAGCGGTGTTAATGGAAACACAAGGAGTACACGAGTCGAAATACACGACGATCGAGGCGCCACCTGCTAGTCGATCTCTCAAGATTTATTATCTAGAACGTCGGAACTTTAAGAATAATCAATAATTATTTGTTATTTATCATTTTTTTCTTCTTTAACACTATTATTTTATTTTTTCTTACAATGCATTTAAATCTAATATTTACATGTCCATATTCTATTTAATTAATCCAAATTCTATATATCTTCTAATGAAATAATATTCTCTTCTAATAATAACAAATAATAATAATATAACTATATTAACAAGTATAGCAATGTTATTCCAATGCATATAAATATGTACGAGCGATATTTATCCACACAATGATATTTTTTGTTTTTTAATATACTATATTTTTTTAATGTTGATAAAAAAACTAATTATACTAATCCTCTTTATGACAACTAAAGTTACTATAATTGCACATTGACTAACTAGTCCGTAGACCCAACGTCATGAATCCTTGATGAATTATTTCGTAGAAATGTCATTAATCATTAACGAATTATTTCGTAAATATATAAATTATGAAAAATGAAATTATTGAATTATTTGTATATATTGGTTAATGTTTTTAAATCTAATTTTATCGAATACCTTGGTAAATTAATACTTTGATTAAATTGTTAAATTTAGGATTAGATTTATCTTTAGTCACGAGATAGCGCTGTATTGAAACGTTTTAATCACTGTTGTCCACGTTTCTACTGTTTGTGAATTCTATGATTACAATTGTTCCTTTTTCCCATGGTCGGCATGGCTCATTGTGTGTGAACATAAAAATAATTGACAGACCTCGATAAATATTTGATTTTTTAATTCCTCATAATATAAATTATTACTCTCTGTCAAAATGGCATCAAGAACTCAATCCAGAAGAATTCCTGAAGTCGAGCCACGTATTGATTACGTTCAATGCGATGGATTGGTTGTAATGAAAATGGTTAAACATTGTCATGAGGAGTCTATGAGCAACATGGAAGTTGCACAAGGTGCACTTTTGGGTTTAGTTGTACAAAATAGATTGGAAATTACTAATTGTTTTCCATTTCCTAAAAATGATGAAATTGCTGACGAAGAGGAATATCAATTAGCTATGATGCGTAGGCTCAGATGGTATGTTAAAAGAACACACACATTTTTTAATGTAATTCAGAATTATTTATTTTATAGTTTATATGTTTTTTATTTGTAGGGTCAACGTTGATCATTTCCATGTCGGATGGTATCAAAGTGCAGATGTTGGTAACTTTTTAAATGTATCGCTTTTGGAATCACAGTATCATTATCAAACATCTATAGAAGAATCGGTTGTACTTATTTATGACACTGCCAAATCAGCTAGAGGATTTTTAACTCTTAAAGCGTATCGTTTAACACCTCAAGCTATTCAAATGTATAAAGAAGGCGAATTTACACCAGAAGCATTGAGGGCTCTTAAGATCGGTTATGAAACTCTTTTTGTTGAAATTCCTGTTGTTATCAAGAATAGCAATTTAACAAATATTATGATGTCGGAATTAGAAGAAATGGTTCCAGAAGAAGAAGGCACTAAATATTTAGATCTTGGAACTGCTACAGTATTAGAAAATCAACTACGCTGTTTGATGGATCGTGTGGATGAATTAAATCAAGAAGCTATGAAGTTCAATAGATACCAACAGTTAGTTGTTAGACAACAACAAGATAAAAATCGATTGTTGGCTAAGAGAGCTCAAGAAAACGCAGCGAGAGCTGCTAAAGACGAACCACCATTACCTGATGATGATATTAACAAGATTATGAGACCATTGCCAGTACCACCTAGATTAAATCCAATGATCGTCGCAGGGCAAATCAATACTTATAGCGAACATATATCACAATTCTGTGCACAAAGCTTAGCTAAATTATATATTACTCAAAGTCTTCAACATGCTAAGGAATCTAAATCTTCCAACTAATGAAGTAACAATCTCTATATTATAAATGATTATATTATTAAGCATTTGTAATGAAATATTAAATCTATATAAAATATTATATAGTAATGTTTCCTTGTGTTTTGTATACACATGTATTGTACAAATACGTTTAAGATCACATTTTATTTTCTACAAAGAAATCATTAAATCTACAAGCCTTAGAGAGCACATCCCCGCATCTTCCTTCTATTTTAATATGTACATCATTGTCAGCTCTTGTTTTACCAATATTTACTAACATTATAGACTTTTTAGCATCTAAAGCTTGAAGTACAATTCTATAACCAGAGAATGTACTTAAAGAAGTTCCAAGAATTAATAATGAACTCGATTGTTCAACTATATTTTTAACATTTTCTACAACATAACGAGGTACATTATCTCCAAAAAACACTATGTCTGGTTTCAGTATACCACCGCAATTTTCACATGGTGGAACAATAAACCCTTCGGTTTCTTCCTATAAAAACATTTTGACAAATGGTTATAAAAGTAGATATGCATGTGCAAACATTTATTTGAATTATTTTAAATACCTGAGTTAAATCTACGTCTCCATCGGGTCTTATCATTTCAATATGACTATTTAAAAGCGGATTAAGTTCTTTAAGAATATTTTGAAAGTTAGCTCGTTCTATTTTATGATCGCAGTTAAGACACATTACTCGAAATGCTGTACCATGAAGTTCTATCACATTTCTATTTCCAGCTTTTGTATGTAAATTATCTACATTCTGTGTAACGACACATGACACCTTCCCAATTTCTTCAAGATTTTTTAATGTCTTATGAGTGTCATTTGGTTGAAATGTTGAAAATCTACGTCAGAAACACTCTTTATGTAGATTCAATTGTAATATGCTTTAGAATTAATTTTATTTAAAATCTAGAAGAATTAATTCAAACCTAGGCCATCCTACATAATTTCGTGCCCAATATCGTTTTCTAATAAATTCATTGGAACAAAAATCTTTATAAAGAACTGGCCTTCGACTGCTTTTAGCGTAAATACCAACMCCTGCCGATCTATAATCTGGAATTCCACTTTCGGTGGAAACTCCAGCACCGGTTAAAACACATATGTTGTTGTTATTTTCTATAAAGTTTTGTAATTGTAGTACATCTTCTTCTTCGACAGGATTGCATACAGGTACAAATGCAAATTGTGACATCCTACATGTTTGAACTATAAGAAATTAATGTAATAACAAGACCGATAAGGTTTTAATAGTTTTAAAACCAATAACATTGATAGTAATGTACTACTTTATATAAATATCAATAAACTTACATTTTAATATCTGTAAAAAAGATGATTGAAGCATTTTTAAAAGAAAAAAAATTGTTTAAAATATTTCAATATCTTTCAAAAACCTATTGATCTTGTTTTACAAATTTTTGTATCTCATTTTCTTATATTCTCATTACATACATTTAATACCACATAACCTCAACTTCTACGTCAAAAAATGGCGTGTGGCAGAAATTTTACGTTTATATGACCAAATGTTCATGTAATCAAACTACATACATATATGCATAATGAAATATTTATAAATCATTATCAAATGATGTAATGAATCAGATTTGAGTTATCCGAGATTATAGCCGGATTGTTACGTTTTACAATTAATGTTAAAAAGGTGGTATCGGTTGCTATATTGGATTTATCGTAAATTATAATATACGGAATTTTTATATTCAAGTTAAACACAATGACGACCGTCAAAGTTTAATTGGCGAAAGTAATGCAAGTCATAGTAGAGGCAGGTAAGCAAACAGGTAAATAAGCAAGTAAGCAAGCAAACACTGTAGAGTCGATTAAAACCGCTCGTGATGTGTGACGAAATGAGTGCAGGTGGCGGTGCATTATTGCACAATGCATCAGTACAACTCCTTCTCCTTGTAACCAGAAGTCAGGACGAGGGTCCTCCGGTAAAGTAGAGGGGAGGAACCTCTCTCACCAAAGGGGAGGTGGGGACTTCCCTAAGTTAACCCGGTGAATGTTACTACTCGCAAATCCACACAACTAATTTCTGCCAATGGTCTATTATTCTTTCTCTTGATATTTAATTGTAAGATTTTTTTAAATTTTGTGCATAGATGTATTTACGGTAAATTTAGTCAATAGAACGACCATTTACATTTTATTTTTTATCAATATTAAGAAAGAAAACTATAAATCAATATGTATTGTTATAACTTATTGTTTACAATGTTGATCTTTTTTTGTATATGGTTTCAAACGGTATTGAATGAACAAAATTTCAGAAAGCAAAGAAAGAAAGAATGAAATAGTAACGAGGTCGACTTGATCCTCTCATGTCAGCTCGGTCGATAAGTAGGGAGGAGTGAAGGGCAACATTTCGTTTGTCTCCTTGGCATCAACAACACATCCGGTTGACGTTTCCAATAACTTTCCTGAATATATTACTAAAAGAAAAAAGTATGTTATATAATTTTTATACCTATGTTGTTTATCTATAAATACATATGTATGTATATATTATAACTTTGAAATGATGCTTCTATTAAGCCGTAAGGATTTGGTGCGATGTAATGTAGAATCCTCACCAACTTTCAAAACTCGACCGTTCGTCTACGGCGCAATAACTTTCGCAATTCTCTTCGTGTCTCGTTGATGATCTGCCTTCATGTTACAGCGGCCGTGAGAGATAGATAACTTCGGGTTTTATTATGTCGTTCGAGGGTTAACTTATGATTTATTGATTAATTGGATCGCCGTTGAATGAGATCAAACGAGAAGAAAGGATCGAAATAAAATTTCATCAGGAAACTATTTTTTATAATATAGTCTATAATTCATAATAACTTTAATTTCGTTTACAATAACGAAAAACAATCGATGCTTTTTTAACGAAGCCATGATAGAATATGATAACAATTGACGTCGTTTTACCTCACACGTTTGTTCATTTATTTCCTGATAATCTAACCAACATGATCTAATAAAAACGACGTTAATTATTAAACTAATGATCTTACCAACGATTTTACGATATTCCAAAAATATTAGGACGTTTGTTAAGCAATTGAGAACCTCTGTGATTTCGCGCGAGAAATACAAAAATATTCAAAGTGTATCGAAAAAGTTGAATTATCTTTTCGACACGTTTACTCAATTGTAATTGTTCGAAGAATTGTTTTGTTAATTGGTAAAATATAATTTTATTGATGAGTTCAACGTTGTTAACGTTAACAACTTTTATTCATGAAAGATAGTAAGGGTTAAAGAGAAAGAAAATGGTCGCTCGTTCAGAGGTTTTAATTTACGATACCCCTGCGATGTTTACAACCAGTCGAAGCAATCGTATGAAACACGCAAACACACACGACGACAACGACGACGTAATACGGTTTTAATGTACGACTCACATATGTAATAACACTATACCTTCAACGAGCATAATTCCTGTGAAGCCCTTTATATGGGTGCTCGCGTTCGTCGCACTGTATAGAACGTTAATCTCTCTCTCTTTTTCTTTTTTGTCTCTCTTTTTGTCTCTCTTTTTGTCTCTCTTTCTCTTTTCAACTCGTGCCCGATCGTATCTACATGCCACTTAACCATTACGGTTTACGAGGTGGATGGATATAAAGTGCTCCCCCGCGGCAACAGGTTACATCGTCTCGTTTTTCCTCCACTTTTTCTCTCTCTTTCTATCTTTAACGATTATGCGAAGACGACACGACGAATGATAGAAAGAGAGAGAAGGGAACAAGAAATTCCTCTTCTTAATATTTTCTACTCTTTTTTTTTTTTTATATATACATCATTTCTCTCTCTTTTTCTACCTTTTATACAACACGCATCTTTTCTTTATATTTTTATCTATCTACATATTTATATATAAATAATATAATTTAACAAAAACAATATTAATTATTCATATTTTTAACAATGGCGCTTAACTACCATCTTGCGAATTTCCAAGATGGAGGATATCACTTTCGATAAATAATTGAGAACCTCTGCCATTTCGCATGGAAAAAATCAAAATGTCTAATAATATATAAACATGTATATATATATATATATATTTATATAGTTACCTTTCTCTTTTCTTTCTTTCTTTCTTTTTCTTATACACACTAGTGCGAAGTTGTCCTTCGTTCAGACGACTTAGGGAAGCTAGTAACCAAGTTCAAGTGACTATCGGTATATCTATATATAAATGCGTAGGGACATTTCTTTGAAATTTATTATCGATCGTCTCGATCTCGTCCTGGACGCCATCAGCCATAGTCCTTATCTTCAGCAGGATGCAATAAGATTCGTTGAGAAATACGCAACAGCAGTCCTTATGTCCGATAAACTGATTCGTATTCTACGCAGTGAATATACTACGAGCAAACCTCAACGGATACTGAATATTTACTTTGGGTATTTCCGTACTTATTGTAAATCGACGAATACTCATCTCATTCTAACTTACTTCCCCTCTTTTTCTTTCTTTCTTTTTCATAAATTCGATATTATATTTAAGGGTATCTAATATTCTTTCATTTATACCATTGAATGCAACATATAGGAAGTAAAACTATCGAGAAAAACACTCGCGTTACGTCTTAGTGTTAAAATTGTGATATCAGTCGCCATATTGAATCTATCGTGAAATATTAAATTTATTATATTTTTGTATATTTAAATAATAAATATTTGTACATATGTGTGTGAGATAAATGTGTCTTTGTATGATGTTGCAAAATTATAGAGGTTCTCAATTACTTATCGAAAGTGCATATGTATCTGTACTTTATTACAATACATATATAAACAGGTTTTATCTAAACGATATCCTTCGTAATCACGATAACACGATGATATAAATTATTACGTAAGGTTTTATCAGAAATTATCAAAAGGTTTTAAAATATATTTTTACCGATCAAGATTGAAGCCAAGGTGTATTTTATTATCGATAGTCTATCGAAAGAGTATATTTATGTTCATGAGTGTTGCAACCAATCTGACAAAGAATTGTCCCTGTTTTCTTGGATATATCTACCGATTTAAATATATTTACAACATACTCGTTCACGTATATGCCAGTCTGACATAATAAGATTAAATGCAAAACGGACGAATTTACAGGCGTGAAACGTAGACAACAGGTAAATAACATAACACGGAATGAAACGTGAGAGGTTTTGTTCGTTTAGAGAAAGTATTGTCCTATGTCTACTACATTTGACTAAAGTAGTGAGAAATTATGCATGCACGTTGACTAAAGTGGTACTCACTTATGTATTATTCATATTAAAAATGACAGAGTAATCAAAATTATATTGAGAAAAAAAGAGAAAATGTGGTCAATTGTTGAATAGTAATAAATAAATATTATAACAAACGTAATAATAAAGTACGATGAAAGGTATTAATTAAGATGTTATAAAAGTTGATAAATTATTAATCGACCGATTAATACTTTTGTGTGTCATGGCCGATATCCGTCATCTGTTCCAGGATATCCGGTTGATGCTGATGTAATATTCGTTCCAATGCAAACACCTTTATCGAATAAACACACAGACACACACATATGTGCGTGCGCGCGTTTACAAGGATAATCCTTTTTTTTTTTAATTGTGGCCGTAAAATTTTTTGCTCGACCATCGAATATTTTTTCTCGTTTTATCTTTTTTTTCTTTTTATTTTTTTTTTTCCTTCTTTCGTTAAATCGAGCATAAATAAGAATTGCGCGGAAGAATTCGAACGATGAAAGTGACCGGTCTCGGCCGATCAAGGCGAAAGAAGGTTTTTGCGCGCGCGCGCGCACGATCCGATTTCCTTGGATGAGGTCGAGCGGAAGATCGAGAGGAAGGATACCTCTTTTCGCTGTTACATACGTGTGAGGCCGATAAATCTCTTTGACAATGAAAAGAAACAACGATTATTCTTTCTTTCAACGCTTACTTGTTACAGATTTCTACGATACCTGCAAACATAATTTACAATTTTCTTTTTTATATATTTCTATCCTGAATTACAGGAAAATGTATTATTTTTCAAATAATTATATGATACAAACAAATTATAATAAACGAAACGATAACAAAAATCCATATCTACGAACAATATATTAATATAAATAATTAATATTTACCGATATATATATATATATACTCAATGAAAAAGATATTCACCGGCACGAAATATTTGGGTTGCGATAAATTATAAAAAAATGTCTATAGAAAATAAAACAATAAAGTTGGTGATAAAAGACGAAATGAAAAATACAAGATGCTAGCGGAAGAGGATAGTAGGTTTTGGTAGTTGGCATTAAAAGTGAATACTAAAATCGCAAAAGGCGGTCTCAACGATAGAAAGGGTCCCCGCTTGGTTGCTAATATATAAGAAAGAAAGAAAAATATAAAGAGAGAGAGAGAAGTACGATAGGACGGCGGTCACGGCGGACACGGTGCGGATCGACGAGGTATTCAGGCCGCAACAAGGCCGCCCCGTGTGCACCGGAGTAAAAGTGCAGCAAAATAAAATGTAGGCTGTTACGTGGCTCGAGGCGTCTCTCTCTTTTCCTTACACAAGTAAGTTTATACACTCACATATAAGCGTGCTCCCGCGTATATATATTTCAGTCACCTCCATCTTCGTTTATCTATATTATCGATATTTCACTCTCTTATATAGATGTTTTCAATATTTGTTCTTCTATCATCTTTTTTTTTTTGTTTTTTTTTGTTTCTTCAATTTCTCCTAATCAAATATTATTAGCAAATTATACATCACAGTGTATAAATCAAAATGAAAATAATTGTAGATTGGTTAATTAACTAATACACAACTACTAACAGGTGCGTTAGTAATGTTTTACTCGGGTAATGTTTTGCAAGAGGTGAAGGAGAAATATCGCGGATGTATCGCAACCAGGAAGCAACTAGTTTTCTCCTCAAAGTCGATATCGAAGAAGTTGCTTTGTTCGTTATAAATTTATTACCGTTATTAAGTACTTT